TTTGCTTTGGTGTGACACTACAAGTTGTTCGATATTAAAGAGACCTTAAATAGGTGGAAACAGCTGTCAATACTTGAAGTATTTTAAGTTAGTGCAACGCACTAAAAACATTATCTCTAGCGAGTTGAAGGTTCCATTTTCTGGAATAATACCACTGGTAATTTACTAGTAATGCGTCAAGGAACTGTGTAGTATGATTTAATTTGTCCACAAACACATAATATTTAACACTGAAAAGGAGTTCAATTTACACCAAGTAAAATTTATTTTAATACTGTGTGAAAGTTAAATTAACACCATTTTAGTATTTGAATTTACACCGGACCAACGAACCTTATTTAACACCATTTTGGTTTGTATCGATATAGACCATGTTTGGTGTTAATTTGGTGTTAAAATGGTCATGAAATTTTGAACAGTGCATTAATTACATTTTAATTTAAATTTTATATGCAACAAAAGCCTTCTGAAAATAATAAAAGTCGATTCCTTAAAGTTGTTTTGGGGAATGGATCCATAACCCCTTAAAAAAATCGTCAAATTATTATTAGATCTTTGAAAAAAACACATTTTAAAGCAGGCTAAAGCCGATTAAAAATTATTTACGCTTATCCATGATTTAAGAACTGAAAAACTGCGTTACTCCAATGAACATTTAATAAACAATTTTAATTGAAAACTAAGAAAAAATTGAACCTACACCTCGCCAAAGTTTTGTTTGCGTTTAAATAAATATATTTTAAAAATGAACTGCCTATCCATGGTGCGTAGCCAGCAAAAAAATTCGTGGGGGTTTTGGTAAAATATAAGAGTAAAATAAAACTATAAATATTATAAGCATGTTGGGATTAAAAAAAAATCTTAAAACACATATGTTTCTCACAGTTCGGTGGGAGGGGTTTACACCTACAACCCCTGGTCTATCCTGTATTTTTTATTAAAGGTGTTTTCGCAAAGGGCGCTATAAAGCATTAAGGAAATACATATATTTCATTTCTGCGTTATATTATAAATAAAATAAATTGCCATAAAATAAAAATTAAATATAAATAATGAGCATTTATTTTCACTATCACCACCACAGTGACTGTTAAAGATCCATGTTAAAGCACTGTTAAAGATTATACAGGGTGAATCGGAAGAATCGCACTAAACTCTAAGACTGCATTCTACACATCAAAATAATAAAAAAAAACTCAACTGTTCTTATCCGATTCTTATTTTTTTTTCAAGTTATAGCGAAATTAAAAAAAAAATTAAATTTTAAAAAATAAATTATTATCTAATGTTCTTTGAAAAACTATGGAAACAAAGTTTTTGTTTCCATATATGGAACTATAGTTATTCATATTGTTTACATTTAAAAGGCCTAACTGTCAGCGTCAGTGGTATTTTTGTAATTTTCCAGTTTAAATTTTTTTAAAATGCCAAAAGTTTATTCAAATTTAGAGTATGCTAATATGGTTTTTGTTTGTGGCTTTTGTAATGGCAATGCCACAGCTGCTGTTGAAGAATATCGGCGACGTTTTCCACGTGAAAGGGCTCCTGACAAAAACGTGTTTATTCGAGTTTTTAACAAACTTTGTGAGACTGGAACTCTTCCAAGTGCTAAAATAACATATGAAAAAGCTGATCGACAAACTTTAGAAGAAGTGGAAAATATTTTGGATCTAGTGGAAGAAGATGCAACGACCAGCACCAGAAGAATCGCTACTCAATTGGACATTTCACAAAAACGGGTAATACACACACTTCACGAGCAAGGCTTATACCCATACCATTTACAAAGAGTACAGTTTCTACACCCGGAAGATTATGCTAAACGTGTGGAATTTTGTCGGTGGGTAATTAACAATCGTAGAGTTGTATCGCGTAGGTATACTTTTTACTGATGAAGCAACCTTTACCCGTCACGGCATCAATAATACGCACAACTCTCACGTATGGTCTGACGAAAATTCCCATACTCTAGTCGAAACCAATTTTCACAGGTTTTCAGTAAATGTGTGGTGTGCTATGATTGCTGGGTATTTAATTGGCCCTTTTATCATGAAGAATCGCCTCACAGGGGAACCCTACCTTAATTTTTTAATAAATGAGTTGCCAGGATTACTAGAGAATGTCCCTTTAAACGTAAGAAGGTGAATGTACTATCAGCATGATGCTGATGATACTATCAGCCCCTGCACATTTCGCTCGTGAGGTCAAGCAACACTTGGATGAAATGTTTCCAGAGCGTTGGATTGGTCGCGGAGGTCCAATTAGTTGGCCTCCAAGAAGTCCAGATCTAACACCACTAGATTTTTGTTTATGGGGTTGGTTTAAAACAGAAGTTTATAAAGTTAAAGTGAATAATCGAGAGGCACTAATTCAACGAATAATTAATACTGGCGCAGTTTTTAAAGAAAAAAAGTCATAACTATTAAACGAATTTTACCGTTTCATTTTATTTATTTTTTAATTACGCTATAACTTCAAAACAAATGAGAATCGAATAAGAACATTTGAGTTTTTTTTTAATTATTTTAATGTGTAGAATGCAGTCATAGAGTTCGGTGCGATCCTTCCGATTCACCCTGTATATATTATTTTAATCCACTTACTAAGTAACTAAATACATTGTTTACATGCGCACTTCTTGGAATTAAAAGTTTAAATTATCTAAAACAAAGAAAACGAGTGTTCAATAGTCTTTAATAGTCTATTAATAATAGAAGCTTTAAATTAATGCTAATTAAAGTTGATAAACTGGTAGCAATCACGTGATATGTTCATGATAATTTATATGCAGTCCAAATAACTAATAAATAAAACCATTGTTGGTTTACTGCTTAAATAATATTGAAAAATAAAAATAAAAATATAGAACTTGTTTTATTATACTTTCTTAAAGGAAACTCTTTTAAAAGAAATTATTTTAATATAAATAGGCATGATAAAAGGAAACAATTTTTCCTTGTATCATGATAAATACATAGGTATAAATCCCAAGCGTATTTTTGGTTCAAGTATAACTATAGTTTCTTTTGATTGCGCATATGCGCATATCTCTCGAGCTTAAAATACGGCAGATTACTGTGTGTAGTACTACCACTTGGTAGGAGTTAATCCTTATCAGCTTTGCAACATTTCTAACGTTTTAAAAAATCGTAAAAGTTCTAGGAACTTTTACAAAATTAAGTAAGGTAAAGAGCATTAAAGCAACGGAAAAAATCAAATTTGCCATTATAAAATTTACTTTCAGTTTTATCCCTCTTTACAGTCGTGATTAATTAAACTTAAATTATTAAAGGGAACAACATTGTAAACAATCTAAGAATATTATTCAAACTTAAATATCTACTATTTAACCGTTATTAAATTAAATTAAATCGACAAGTTAAATTTTTGACAATTTTATAAATAAATAAATATAAATAATACTTTTAATTTTATAATAACTTTATTTTGTTAAATGCGTTCTGAAATTATAAAATTTATTTGCCAAAATTTTATTATTTGCATCTTCATTTGATCAATTATTAAAGGACGTGTCTAGAGTCCCGAACGCGGGATCGCTTGAAAAAGTTTCAGATATTATTAAGATTTATTTATAAATAAAGTAAAGTACAAAATTGAAACACAATATTTAAAATTGTACTGGTCGCTCCTTTTTTCTTCTTAGCTGGGAGGCCTATCGCTGTTAGACTCTTGCCCCTAGGTCTGCCTCGGCTTTTAATGGAATTCTGGAATGTTTAAAAAATTACAAATTTACTGGCAAAGAAATATTTTTCAGGGCAACTTTACTTGTGCCTTCTTGGGAACATGCTTGTATCTCATCATTTCCATTTGCAGGCCTATCTGAATTTTTGCATAGGTGATTACGGCGTAACTATTTTCTAAAGAAAATTTATTGTTACCAACCGGAATCGGAGCATTAATACACACCATTAATTTATTAATTATTTTCTTAGATCTTATACCCGTCGTCATTTCTGTTGTTTTTAGAACATAATTGTTTATTTTTTGGTGGACGAAACGCCTGCCCACCATGTATGCATGTATACTTTAATCTTAAATCGAGCTTATCTTTGACCATCTTGTACAAATTAGGAGCAAGGTACTTTGCAGATGTTACAGTTTTTGCATCCGGTTTCCAAAAATTCACTTTGTGTTCTTTGTCAAATAAATCAATAGCATCTTGTAGTTCTTTATACGAACTAAACGTGTCGTTTATGTTTAATACCATTATAATTTGACAAATTCTGAATTTTTGTTACGAAAAACAATTAAAAAAATCCTATTGCTAACCTAACATTACACTGTAAATACCAAACACTAGCAAACACGTGATAACTCCGCAGAACATATGAGACTTCGGGAATTATATTTCGTAACGGTGGTCCCGAGATCGGGATTGCAAATATTTTGGTAGTCCCGAACAGCGTTATTAAGCCACACCTCTTCTGGATTTTTACTTTTTAAAGCGATCCCGCGTTCGGGACCCTAGACACGTCCATTACTAAATTGTATTTAGTTGTTTGATTGACTTACTTTTTCCAAAATTGATTGAATACACATCTACAAGTAAATCGATTTTTTCTAAAAAAATTTATTCGTATTTCTAGTTTAAATATTTTATTTTGATGTGTAATATCAATTAATATTCAAATTATTATTAATATTAATTAATTATATTATAATACAATCTTAAAAGAGGATAAAATATTTTATTCTTATTTTACCTAAATAAAAATAAATGCACATACCTAGTTGTTTTTAATAAAAGACCTGTTCAAAAATAATTTTGAGATTTAATATTAAAATTATATCCAGGCGGTTGCCATTTCCCCAATTTTTTGACATGGTGATTTACGTTTTAAAATATTCAACTTGATTTAACATGCCACAAACATCAAAAGTCAAAACACTTTTTATCGGAGAAGACAGCAAAAGTTTAAAAAAGGTTTTATAATTTTTTGTGTAGAAGTTTCTAACAATTTCTTTCTTTTATTTTCCAGACCGACAGCGAGGTAGCCTGCGAAGAAGCCGCTCGCCTAACAGCAGAACAACAGGAAGAAGATGACGACGGATTGTCGTATTGCGACTACCACGACCTGCCGCCCCCGCCGGACGGTGGCTACGGCTGGGTGGTGGTGTTCGCCTCCTTCATGTGCAACATGATCGTCGACGGTATCGCCTATACGTTCGGAATCTTCCTCACCCAGATCATGGAGCACTACGGCGAGACCAAGGGTAAGACGGCGTGGGTTGGGTCCTTGCTGTCCGGAATGTATTTAAGTGCGGGTCCGGTGGTCAGTGCGTTAACCAATAAGTTCGGGTGTCGTGCCGTGTGTATTTCGGGTTCTTTGATTTCAACGGCTGCCTTCGTGCTTTCAACCCTAAGTCCTAGCGTGAATTGGTTGATGTTGATATATGGTTTCATAGGCGGTATTGGGTTTGGTTTGATATATCTACCAGCAGTGGTATGTGTGGGTTATTATTTTGAAACTAAACGCTCTCTTGCCACCGGTATAGCTGTATGTGGTTCCGGGGTGGGTACCTTCGCGTTTGCACCATTAGCTACAATATTGCTAGATGAATTTGGATGGAAGGGTGCCAATCTTATACTGGCAGGTTTCATATTGAATTGCGTTCTCTTTGGAGCTTTAATGAGGCCTCTAGAATACCCCAAAGACAATGGTGAGAAACCCTTATTAATCCGCATGGCCGAAGAACGTCGTATGCAGTTAGAACGTGGTTCCATCGCTGGATCCTACTTTATGGTGCAGCTACCAGATGGTACCATGGAAAAACGGCAGAAGCAACCATTAAACATCGATCCAGGCGTCCATTCTAGCCTGAACCTTGACCAGCTGGCGTCTGGCACACCCATAACCCCAATACCCACTGTCGCCACCCTCCCAACAATCGCCGAAGTTAAGGTCCAGGAGCACAGCAGCTCGGGTTCGCCGAGTCCGGGCGAGAGTACCGCCGAAATTAAAAAAAACGCTCGCGTCGAGGATATTAAGCAACAGCAGGATAACTCGAAAATGCCTAGAAATGCCAGTCAGCCCGCTTTTACTACGCACCATCAGGGATTGCCGAAGAACGGTTCCGTGCCCACATTCGATCGTATCAGGAAAACGTCGATGAGCGAGAGGTTTAAGCCCACTTTGAACCCCATCAAGTCCAATTCTCGAGGCAACATGAATTCAAACGGGGATATGAGAAGGCTGAGGAACAATTCAACCGGGTCTTTCTTAAGTCGTAACAACAATAGTGAGGTTAGTACATGTTACCATCACTTTTTAGTTACCAGAAAAATAATTTTGAATGAACCCCAGAAGCACAACTGGTTAAATTAACGTTGAATTAACGTTATGCCTGGTTAATTTATTTTAGTACTATAACGTTAAATTAACGTTGTTTTAAGTAAATTTAACCTTTTTGGTTAATTTACCTTTTTGTTAAAAAAGATTTGGTAATTTTAGGTTGTATTTTACCATTCTTAACTACTTTTTTAACTGTTTAGTTAACTTAAAAAATAAAGTATGAAAATTAACCGGTTTAAGTTTATTTTAACTATTTTGTACTAAATATGGTTAAGTATCTATATATTTATAAATATATTATTTGTTTACAGATCTTTGAAATAAAATGTTGTCTCTGAATATTAATACCTTAAAGAGAAAAAAATTATTGTGAAAGTTGAGTCCATAATATTAATACTAAGAGGTCTATCATCGCAATTTTAATTTTTTTTTCTCAGCAAGTTTTTGTCTCAGAACTCCCAAACCTTTGAGTTTAACAAAATTGACTAAGAAATATTTTTTTAAGAAAATTAATTGCTCTACAAAAAAGGTTAAAATGAAATTTTCCGTTAGATGAACCGTTTCCCCAAAATCATGCCTTAAAAATTGGTATAGTTTTACATTTTGATCTTTTAACTTTGGAATTTTGTAATTTATGTAAAAATCAGTACCCAAAAAAAAACCGATAAAATTTATCGGTTTTTTTTTGGGTACTGATTTTTATTTAATATTCTTATGAGAAATCAAATGCTTTACAAAAAAAGGCTCTCAACATTTTTGGCTAAATTCACTCAATCAAAAGTTATTCAAGGTTAAAGTTGAAGTCGAAACGAAATTCTTGTTTTTTTCCTTTCTAGATTTATTTTTTTACGGATGATAATTTGATTTTTTTCTTTATAAATGTATAACTAATTAACAATTTCCAATAAAAATACAACATGATATTTAAACGATTAAATAGGTAACAGTGAAAATGATATTTTCTAAAGAAAATAGCTTCTTAAAGCAAAAAAATGCTGTGTTCTTTTTTTTTAATTTTCAGTAATTTTATCAATAACGTAAAGATTATCATCGACTATTTCCCTCGTCTTGATTTCCACCAATCACAAACGCGAAATTTTGAATTACAAATGGTTTCTAGGTGACTATTCCACTCATTACTTTTTGGACCAATCAGATTTCAGAAAACGAGTGGTTTTTTCAGTTTTGCAGCGATAAAACTACTATTCAGGTGAAAAAACCACTCGTTTATACGAGTTGCATAACAACCAATTGGTTGCTATGATAAAAATAATTGTCACTGTTGACGTTTTTAATTTTAAAATTAAAATGTTAAAAAATATGCGTTTTGGTCCAAAAAATCATACAGAAATTGAATCAACAGTTAAAAATATTCGTGAAATAGTCTTGCCGAATACCACTCGTGATAAAATTTTCCCTGAAAAAATTTTTGATTTTTATTTACTCAAGATTTTTCCTTGGAAATTTCGCTCGTGGCATTAACTTTAAACCACTCGCCTAGCGGCTCGTGGTCTTAAAAATTAATGCCACTTGCGAAATTTCCAAGAAAAAAACATTCGTATAAAAATCAAAAATTTTATCGGTAAAATTTTACCACTAGTGGTATTATATACGAAAAAACTGTGTGACAGCACCTGTCAGCAGTTTTTTCGAGTTTACCCGCGGCAAAACTTGACAGCTGTTGTCACCAAAAATTGCAATTTATATTTTAATTGTTAACTGTTACTCATGAAATAGTCTTGTCAAATACCATTCGGGCATCTAATTTTTCCTGTGGAAAAAATCGAAAAAACACAATGCTAAGTAATATTTTTCAACAAAATGCATTCGTGCAGGTGCAAAAATCCTCCTCTTCGACTCGGAGTTTTGTTGCCACCAGCACTCATGCTTCTTGTTAAAATATTACTTAGCAACGTGTTTTTTCGATTTTTTTCGGAAAAATTAGATGCCCTTATTATTACCTACGACAAAAGAAGTTTTTAACTGGCCCAAAAAAGCTAGAGCGGAAAAAACAAGAATTTCGTTTTGACTTAAAATTTAACCTTGAATAACTTTTGATGGAGTGAATTTAGCCAAAAATGTTAAAGAATTTTTTTGTAGAGAATTTGATTTCCCATAGGAATACCTATCTATTTTTTTTTTCGGATACTGATTTTTACATGAATTACAAAATTCCAAAGTTAAAATATCAAATTGTAAAACTATGTAAGAAAACGGTTCATCTGACGGGAAATTCCTATCAAACCTTTTTGTAGAGCATTCAATTTTCTTCAAAAAATATTCTAAAGTCAATTTTGTTAAACTCAATGGTTTGGGATTTCTGAGACAAAAACTCGCTCCGGAAAAAAAATTGCGATGATAGACCTCTGAGTATTAATATTATGGACTAAAACTTTCACCATAATTTTTTTTTGTCACCCCAAACAATATTTTCGATATACCTACTTTACAAAAAATAGTCGATTTTTTTTGGCCCAGTCAAGTAAATATAACGTTATGGAACTTCTAAAATAACATTATTTTTAACTAAGGTAAATTTAAGTTATTTTAAGAGTTTCAATGGACAATAAAAAACAAATTCTTAATTTATAATAAAAATAACGTTTTCATTGATTTTAAGGTAATAGCAACCAGTTGGTAAATTTAAAGGGATATTTTTTAGTTTATTTAATAACCTTTAAAAATGCCAATGGTTAAATCAACTAATTGGTTTAAAAAAACGTTAATTTACTTAGAATGCTAGTTATTTAACCAGTTAAACTACTTGGGAAGATACGCTAGTTAGCATACGATCAAAGTATATTATCTTTCTGAAATGAAAGAAAATAAAAATAAAACAAATATTAATATTAATTAATTAATTTAAAGTTAATGTTAAAAAAACCTGCACAACGGTTGTTCAAATAGTTAATTTTGTCTAAAATAATTTGTTAATTCGATGTTCGCACACCCGTAATAAAAATATATAGTAGTTGAAAGCTAATTTTCAAAACGCGTTATGGCCCTTTTTAATCACCACAACGTGTTGTGGTCAAATATCAGAAGAACCACGACGCGAATTTGAGTTGGCCACAACGCGTTTTTTTTGCCCAATGAGCACTTTCGTTCTTTGAGGCTACCAAAAAGAAATTAAATTCCATTCAGTGTTTGTTTTTTAATATTTATTTAATAAACCCTGTTTGAGTCACCAATACCTAATATTTTATAAAACGTATACTTTTTTCTATTTATTTTATCGTATTTTACTATTTTAAATAAAACAAATTTATTTGAATCCTTAATTTCCAATTAATCACTCATAAATGTGTATTAAGGTTTCAAAAAATTATCTTAAATTAGGTACAATAATAGAATCTTTGTTTGCATTTGTCAATGAAAACAAAATTAGAAAAACTGTTGCCAGTCCTGATTATACCTACTAGGAAAACTCTTTGACGCAAATTATTTTGTTTTTATACAAAAAATGCATTTATGTCGGTAAATAAAAAATTGTTAGTATGTCCAAAAGTAAAAATAGTTTTCTACTAATTGGAACACGTCCAATGCTATGCAAGTTTATGTTGGCGTGAACTTGAAATTTAACGAGAAAATGTCCAATATTTTGATTTTTACATATTTTTAATAAAACCCCTAAAATTACAATTATAAAATAGTTAATTAATACTTTTAACATAACGGTATTTGTATTTGGCACATACATTTTTTATTTTAATTAACAGAAACAATCAAAATATATTTTGTAAACCTGAAATAATTAGGTACGTTGTTTGTTTTAGGTCGATGTGGAAAGTTTGCAATATACATCAAAGCTATCGCTTCCAAGAGAAAAAAGTTTAATGGTTCGTCCAATGTCCAGAAAGGACATTTTCTATTCAGGTTCAATTGTAAATCTTCCAGAATATCACCAATCGCAAAAGTCTTTAGCTAATTATAGACAAAGTATTATGAGTATTCCTAAAATAAGGTCAATGGACGGTGACGGATCACGTAAGTCTAATTTTTTTTAATACATTTGTTTTATTTTTAATGCTAAAGTAATGTAAACAATTTATCTTCATTTAATTATTATGTTATTCTTTGCAAAAATGTTTTGTTCTAAAATAAAATGTCAAAACCAGGATCTAATTTTAAAAAGTTCAATAAAAAAAACTTTTACATGTTTTTCTTTTAACTTTATCAAAAATCGTGAAAAGCTTGAAAATATTAGTTGCTTTATTTATTATAATAAATATACCAAGCTGTGCACTACTACTCTATCTATTCTATACAGGGTGTTATGTAATTAATGTTATATATTAAAATACTGAATACCTTTTGACATAAGGAGTAAAGGAAAAATATTTAAAAAAATATTTCCAAAAATATGCATTAGAAGTTTTTTATTTTAATTGTGATACGCCACTGGTTACACACTTCGTTTATCTCTGCACACTTGTGTTCTGTGAGTACATAGATACCAACCAACAAAGTAGCTGCGCGTTGCCAGATGTAAAAAATTGTTACTAAAAATTTTTCTTGCAATAAAAACTCAATAAATACAAAAGTTTTATGCCCTTAAAGCTCTAATACCCTTCTGTATTTATTTACTCATCCAGCTAATAGCTTAAGCAATGATTAGAAAGTTTAATACCTATTTTAAAAAATCCATAACCACAAAATTAATTTTTTCATCGGTTTTTTCTTTCTGTTTACTCAGATGAAATTGGGTCCAGTTCACAGGTTAAACTTTAAACATTTAATTTGTGTAAATAAATCCAAAAGCACTTCCCTTAGTTAAGATATTTACAATTTGAGCACATAACCTAAAATTTGAAAGAAATGCACTAGATTCTGTCATAAAAGTTGGCAGATTTTGTTTGAAGTTACCTTCAGTACAAAAGTGACATAACAAACAATTAATTAAAACGCCAAATTTGCATTGTTAATTTTGTCATTTTTGTAATTAAGCTAAATTTAAACAATGTTTGTCAACTTTTTTGAGAGATTTTGGTTGTTACCAACCATAACATAATAAATTAAATCAGGCAACCAGATAAGTCTTAAGTTCCTAGTCGATCAGTGGCATACTTTTTGGTAGGATAAAGGTTATTATAAATTATTTTTAGTCTTTGGAATTTAGAGAAAAAAAGTTTCAGGTGCTTCTTTATGGACCCTAAGGAACAACCCATTTTAATATATAACATTAATTACATAACACCCTGTATATTACGTTCACTTTTAGCAAACACATTTTTCATCATAGTTAAGTAATACTTATACCTATGAAGAAGTAAAAGTGCAAAAAATGTTATTAAGTAAAGTTTTTGCTATATACTAAAATCTGGATACTTGTTACAATGTTTGCATTAATCAACATGCAGAACTCGTACAATTTTCTCGTTATGAAAAAATTAAAAAAATTAAACTACCCAATTCTGCACTTGAGCCATTCCACGCGTGACGGATGGGATAGTTGCCGTGTTTTTATTTACAAAATAATGTTGTTCTATTGTATTGCCAATGTCAAATTTTTATAAATGGTTCTAAACTGGAGCTGTTTAACAAGGTTTTTATTTGGCAAAATTGGGTATCGTGATTGACTGTCCAATTCTTTAAAAACTAATAATTTAAAGCGTAACGGTCGGGACTTTGCAATAGTCCCGACCGTTACGCTTTAAATTATTTATTTTTAAGGAATTGGACAGTCAATCACGATACCTAATTTTGCCAAATAAAAACCTTGTTAAACAGCTCCAGTTTAGAACCATTTATAAAAATTTGACATTGGCAATACAATAGAACAACATTATTTTGTAAATAAAAACACGGCAACTATCCCATCCGTCACGCGTGGAATGGCTCACTTAACTTATTTTCATGCAAAAATGCACTTCTAAGCTTTTGCTTTTAACTCCTTCATATATAATTAATATTAAAAATACCGACCTTAAACACCTATAATTTTTTCGAAATATTAATGAATCCCTCGGTATATCGTACGATTCATTAATATTGCGAAAACATTTGGTATATTATTCCTTGAATAAAAATGAGAAAAAAAAATACGGAAAAGTTCCTTAAATATACGTTTTTTTAATTTCTGATTTAATCTTTAATCAAAGGCTGTAAAAATACTTTAGACCAATCAGGTCTATAAAAAATCTAATCTAGCCTCACTTTCTACTTTTACTCAAAACCCTAAACCAAACCAAAACTGCTTAAAATGTCTTCAACTAGGTCTAATAGTTTTAATCTACCATCATAAATTCCCTGCCTAACAACGGAAATAATAAACTCATTATTTAGGCATCAGTGGTTGGCAGATTTCAATATTCACTGTGATTTAAAACCAATCGGGTTTTAAATTGGGAGAAGGCGACTATATTATTATTTTTGAAAATCCTTTATTTATCTACTTATTGAATAAAAAAAAATAAAATAAAATAAAAATAAAATACTTATTGAAGTAGATAAAGTATATTATTATACTCGAGATTGTGCGCATTATTCACTCCGATGATTTAAGTATCTCGTCTAGCGACTCGAGACGCAAACCTCATCCTCGCGAATAATAGCTTGCATTATCTCTCGTATAATAATGTACTATTATTGTGTATTAAGCTGCGATAATAATTATTCGTAATTGTTTAGCTATTTATGCTATAAATTCCATTTTGGCGTCTGTATTGCTTTCTTATAAAATACTTAACCATTTCATGTAATATTATGATTAAGTTCGTACCCCTTTGTAAAATTAATTTTCAAGCAATTAGGTGTTCTTATAACCCCAAGATTTAATTAAAATGTTGCACAATAAACCGCTGGCTTATCAAAATAATCACCAACGCAATCATCCCTGATGACAATGAGAAACTGATCGATTGTCACGTTTTATTTTACAAAACGCTCTTTTTATGTTTAAGCCGATGATATATGCCCATGCCTTGTTTTACCAGAGAGTTTTAAGTCTGCACTATCAACCATGATGGATATGAGCTTGTTAAAGGATCCAGTGTTTTTGCTGATTGGAATTTCGAATTTCTTCGGAATGGCCGGATTATACGTACCCTTCGTTTTTTTGGTCGATATGGCTATTCAAGATGTAAGTAAAATTAATTATTATTTTCCACATAGTGTTTATATTTTTCCCAATGGAAGTCTTCCACATTGACAAGCTGTGACTTTATGGCGTTTTAGTCGTAATCTGTGGTTTTAGTTGTAGGCTGAAGCTTTTTACGATTTGAAGTTTTCTTTATTATAAATTAGTAAAAAATAAGATAAAATTGGCTTTAAATTCTTCTTTGCGTTCGTCGTAGATAATAGTACATTTTCAAACAGGCAACCCTGGCGAAAATAAAGCGTGCATAAAAAGTGTGCAATAAGTGTGTATTTGAAGTGCAAGTCTTTATAACAATGTTCTTACACGCTATTCTGTGGTAATGTCACACTTTATGCACATTGACATCACGCTTTTTATTTGTCAGGCTTATATATAAGGTTTCGTGGAATAATAATAAGTGTGTATTTGAAGTGCAAGTCTTTATAACAATGTTCTTACACGCTATTCTGTGGTAATGTCACACTTTATGCACATTGACATCACGCTTTTTATTTGTCAGGCTTATATATAAGGTTTCGTGGAAATACCCAAATGTAATATATTACATTTGGGTATTTCCACGAAACCTTATCCCACCTTGACAAAAAATCATCAAATCATGTGTTATTTAACAAAACTATATCTAAAGTCAAATAGTTTAATTGCGACGTAATTTATAACCTTAAAATATTTGTACATTGTGATGCTAAGAAGCTAACATTAAGAATAAACACGGAAGAGTTTCAGTACTCGATAAAATGTTCAAATGTCCCACCCGATACATTTTAAGAAAATTTTAGAAAATGAAGTATACAATTTTTGTACATTTAAAATACGTGCTTGTTTACTTGGTTACTTTTCAAGTTTTACACAAAAAAATATTACCATGTGCTTTCATCCAAAATTTTACAGTATCAACTTTAGAAGCCAACTTGGTCGCATTTGCCGATTTTCTAAGGTCGCGCCCGTTACGCTATTCATGACGTTATACAAGGTTTTCTTTACAAGTTTTTATTGACATATTGTTTGAGTTAAATACCCAATTTTCTTACTATTTTTTTATATTAACTTATCTTGATATATATGAACAAACACTTTATTATCATAAAAAAACGCAGTTTTAGTGTCGCACCCGTTACAATGGAAATACCCATTTTTATTAAGCACAGTTTTTAAATACAATTTTGCACAGCTTTAGCTCATTTTATTCATGTCAAATTTTATACACACTGTTAGCACGCTTTTTTCATTGTTATTAACCACGCTTACGTTACACCTTTATTAAGCACATTGTACAGTTAGCACATTCTTTTTAAAACAATTTTGCACAGCTTCAGTTTATCTTATGCATGTCACATTTTATACATACTGTTAGCACAATTTATTATTTCCCATTTATTACGCTTATATTACACCTTTGTATAGCACATTGTTCGTACAGTTTTAGCGATTACTCTACAGTCCAAGCACATTTTAGATATATCTCGCTTGTGTTGGGGTAAAAAATTCATTATAAAGATGAGATAGATTACAACTTATGTATCGCTTCTCGGCCTAGGGTAGCCCCGTCGTTTTCTTTTTGATAATAAAAATTCTTACTAACAAAAATACCTGCACTGTTCTTAGTGTCACTCACCTCTACTGTTCTATTTGTAATTGTAACATAGAACTGTGCTGCTAAGTGACTGACAACAGTGCAGGTATATTTCTTAATAAAATACAATACTCTGGGTATTTTTTATTAGGTTAATATTAATAATATTATTAGGATATTCATTTTTTAATTTATTAAGTGCAAAGGTCACCAAGAAGAATATGTTTCTGTAGTAGGCACACAGAAGGTGGCAAGAAACAATGTGAAAAACCAAAAGAATTCCCTTTAGAACATTGTCCAGTAAAAATTCACACTTTTAAATTTTTGGTTTTGCACATTGTTTCATGTTTCATTTCCCATCCTCCGCACATCTTTTTTTTTAAAGATTGCATATTGTTGGCACATTGTTCTCAAATAATTTTGAACACTTTTTGCACATTTCATTTTCGCCAGGGGAAGAAAGCGCTTCTTTACAGCCGAGGTCAGTTCATATGCTTTCTCCTTCCTTCTTTCTCCGTGTTGTATATTCTTTTTTTCAAGCATTTAATAATTCTGTACTGACAATATACAACTCATTTAAACACTTTTCTAGACACTCGCTTTCATTAAACACTCGCTCGCACTAACCTCGACTAAAATGCTTGAAACTTGATAAATACTATACTATCAAGTTTTATTAATAATTATAAAAAACGAATTACGAAATATTTTTTTAAATGTTCCCGAAGAGTTCGCCATTTAAAAAACACGCAGCACTTTATTTTCGTAAAAAATATTAGTGATTTAAGTTTAATTTTAAAATAATCTGGTTTTAAAACTTAATTCCAAAATAAATTACTTTTTATGACCTGAAGGTTTGGTTAAATAGTTTCTCCTTCATAATATTTTTAACGATTTCGCTTGAAAATCTGAAGTATGAAACTTTTATGACAAAAAGTAAGTAATTTTTTAAGCCAGTTTGGGTTAAAAATGTCTTTGTCACAAAGACAGTTTTGTTTTACAATTAACTTTTTCTACTCCTATTACGGAATACGACCGTTCTAACATCACTTTTTAATGTGGAGTTTAGAATTTCCGGAAAAATTGAGCCGGCGAAAAAAACCTTTTTCCGAAAAAAAAACGGAAAAATTGCATTTTCATTTTTTAAAGTTTATTCAAAGGGTAGAAAATGCAAAAATCAATTTTTCTGAAAATTTACAAATTTACAAGTATCCGTACACTATATGGAGAAAATAGTGAATAATAATTAGTATGATTATAATTATTATGATTATAATAAATATTATGATTATTATAATTAGTCATTTTATTTTAATTCAGTAAGAATATTCTACCGGCACGCAAAAAAACATGTTCGGTGCTGTATTAACATAAGTTTTATTTAACACTTCGATTTATAAAATTATAATTAGTTAGATATTTTTAATAGACTCCTTTTTGCAACAAAAAAACCCAACAGACAGTATGCCTATTTCACGTTTACGTTTATATTCTTAAATTTAATTTAATGTTTAGTTTTATTTTTTTTGTAATAAAGGATTTTTTTAATTGAATCCAGGGAATCCCTGGACGTTTTTCCTTTGAATGGTTGACCCCTCGGTGTATATTTTCCAAAAAAATCAATTTTTCCCAAAAAAGCCATTTTTTCCAAGGCCTGGGTAAAAAACGAAATAAAACTATTTTTTTTCAATTGTTCCGTTTTTTTAAACCCTAGTGGAGTTACATATAATCCTTAAACTGTTACAGAATAAATAATTATTATTCTGATTCAAAGTGGTAAGAACAATCATTTTACTCCTCTTGTAAAAAATAAAAACCTTATAGTAGAGGATCCCAAGTAAGGTCGACCTTCACTCATCTGCTTACCAAATGAAAATTATATTTTATCAAATAAAATATGTTTCTGAACATAAACCAATAGGGTTGCCATAAAAAATATGATCATGGCTATAATAAATAAAAAATATTTTTTTTTAAATTTCACCGACGTGCTTGCCAAATGAACGAAATTTCAATGGAAAGCATACAACATACAGAATATGTAACAGCTAGGTTGCCTACCTTTTTCTGGTCCCTATTACCTGGTTGCTTTGTACAAACAGGTAAGTTGATATCAGTAATTGCACTCATATGCACTTAAAAAATATATCAAAATGAAGGCAATTTTATTACGAATACAGTAGTATAGGGTTGCTGTTTGCTCCAAAACGCTTCTCAATAGCATTTACTCAAATACTAAATTTTGTTCATAAAGTCATAATTGATGTGACAGCTCGATGTCACCTTGACATTGACGGAAAAGTTTTATTCACACAGCCACAATATAGCTGTATAAGTTTTTTTGTTAGCGATAGTACATCTTTGCTTTCTCCAATTTTTTAATTTAAAAGTCTAGCAACCGTTATTTGAGTACATTAGATGCACAACTCTGTATTTGCAGGATAAGTGATTTTAAGAAAAACACGAAAAACCGCTCATAAGGTCATATTTGAAAAAAAATACAAAAATCGTATAGACGTGCTTTTGCATCATTTCTTATTAAAAAAAGTCCTTTAAAATTAAGTAGTTTAGTAAATAATTGAAATCAAAAGATTTAAAAACATAGTTTTGCATCTTCCTCGTTCAAAGACCAAGTTTTGCAAGTGAAAAGTGCAAATACCAAAAAAATAACAATTAATCAGGTGATTGTTATGCCGTCAGTTAATGCGTATACTAGCGACGTGATTGGTGATTGGTCAAATACCTAGTTTTGCATCCGACAAATACCAAGTTTTGCAGCTGCGGTAAGTTTATAAATGTATTTTATTCTACAAATATTAACTTATGCATCTGGTTTACTTAGTTATGCTGTGGGCAGTGTAGTTATGAACATAAATAAGATAAAATATATATTTTTTAAAAATGTGCAAAAACCGAGTTTTGCATCTAATGTACTCATTTATGAACGGATTCTTCAAAGCAACCCTATACTACTGTATTCGTAATAAAATTGCCTTCATTTTGATATATTTTTTAAGTGGTAAGCATATGAGTGCAATTACTGATATCAACTAACCTGTTTGTACAAAGCAACCAGGTAATAGGGACCAGAAAAAGGTAGGCAACCTAGCTGTTACATATTCTGTATGTTGTATGCTTTCCATTGGAATTTCGTTCATTTGGCAAGCACGTCGGTGAAATTTAAAAAAAAAAAATATTTTTTTATTTTTTTATTTATTATAGCCATGATCATATTTTTTATGGCAACCCTATTGGTTTATGTTCAGAAACATATTTTATTTGATAAAATATAATTTTCATCTGGTAAGCAGATGAGTGAAGGTCGACCTTACTTGGGATCTTAGACTATTATTCTATCAGGGCTGTCAAATGTCAATTTGAAGGTTAATTTCAGGTTATTTTATGACCCACAAATTAACCTTTAAATTGACATTTGTTAGAATAAGGTTTATTTTTTACAAAAGTCTCTTTCAAGGCTTGCAAGTCTCTGTAAGAAACACAACGTTTAAAACGATTATTAATCTGTACAAACTCCTAGCACAAGAATTGTAAACAACAAAAATGGCCGCCATCGTATGATGTGCAGTGTTGCAGTGATTTTTAGTATTTTTACTACGAGATCGAACAGACCTTGTTGTGTGGATTGTGGGCCCAATAACCCAATTTTTAATTATCCCAACCCAAACATTTACACTGAAGCGATTTTGATGATAAAACTCCCATTTTCTATGTGGATTTTCTTGGTTATAATAATGGCAATTTCTACTATTAAAATACCCATCCCTACTAAAATTTGCCTCATCAGTCCATAAAATATGAGTTTAAAAATCATCATAGAAATCCTCATTAATTTTTCCCAATAACCAATTACAAAATTTAAACGCAAACCGAAATCGTTGTTGTTAAGAGCCTGAACTTTAGTGTTGTGGTATGGATGGAACTTCTTCTTTAATTGCCTGGTTATAGATGTCTGGGACATGCCAAGCTGCTGAGCAATCCCTCTGGTACTTCTTGTTGGATCTTTTTGAATCAACTGGATGATTAACTCATCGGCTTCGGGTACAATCTCTAGAGGCCGACCAAGGTCAGGCTTTAGAGATCCAGTCTCTCTAGCTCTGACCATCATCCTTCTAAAGACTCCCGGCGATGGGTGGGTTATGTCAGCGAATCTTGCTGCGTATACCCGGGATGCTTTATTGCAATTTTCTCCACAAAATCCAAGTACCAGCATCATATCCAGATTGGTGTACATTTTATTAAATAGACTCGACAAAATAATATCCAGACACCAAAAAAATAAAATATAAACGTCAAAGTTAATTTTCGCATTGTTGATTACAAATAGACTCGACAAAATAATAACCAGACAAACACCAAAAATATAAACGTCAATGTCAATTTTCGTATTGTTGATTTTCAATTGTTAAAAAATCATTCTAAAACATTAAAATTAAAAAAAAAATACACTTTTTCGAGAAATTTTTTTGCTAGGAAATATTTAAGAACCCTAAACTCTTCAGTAAAAATCGTATAAGGTGGAAAAATATTAAATAATAAAAAAGTTTAATTTAAAACTTAAGACCTGAATTCCTCGGTTACTTTTTCATTTGGAATTTTTTAAACATTTTTCCCTACTTATATTAAGGCCCCCCTACATGCAGAGGCGTAGCTAGGTAACTAAAGGCCCTGGTGCAAAAAAAAAACTGGGGCCCCACACTGTTCAAAATCAAGCCTTTTGAAATACCTAATCAGAATTAGTTAAGGAAAAATAAGGTAATATGCTTAAACGAGTAAAGCAATTTACCTTCTCGTTTATTAGGAAGAAACGAATGCCTTAGTTCTATGGTGTATTCACTAACTTCTAGATAAATATTCATACTTTACTTAATAAACTTGTCAAATTTAAAAAGATAGGCAAATTACCTAAATATTTAGTCAAAATCTCAATTACTTTTAGGTACGACAATTTTGCTTTTAATTTAGGTAATTCTTCTAAATTATTATGGCAAATTATTAAACTAATTTAGGTAAATTCCTTTAAATATTAGTGACTTACTTGCAATCGGCTACGATCGCTAATACCGACGTTTTAAGATAAATATTCGCGCCTATATTGTCCACCATAATGCCAAAATCAACGAAAGCTTAAAGACCTCGTTGTGTGCTATTGATATAACAACATAGTTAACAATTATTGTGATATAAGTGAACATTTTGTAGTGCTATAGTTAAGTAATCCAAACTAAATGGAATTTCCCATTGACACCAGTTTATTTTTAAATAATCCCAACCCTGCAGGGTTGGGATTATTTAAAGGGTTCCGTTACTACATGTAGTACCGGAACCGCAGTTTTTAATTCGCCTAGGACACAAAGATAAAGGAGTCCTAACTTGGAAGAAAATTCCTATGCTAGGATTTTCACTAAAAATATATATAATTTGCCTGAAAACTTAGCTAAAATCTACCTAAAAATTTAAGCAAATTGCCTTAGAAACAGGAAATTTATTATTTTATTCTCAGGCAATATCCCTTACGATCTAAGGTGTATTATCTTTGAAACCCAAGTAATTTTGCTTAATTAATTGTATCATTTTCTTTAAAAATATCAGTTAAAGAATTTACTAATTTAAAAGGGGAATATTCCTCTGAATTCATTTTAAGCAGTTTGCCTTAAAAAATCAATGGTCCTATATAGTCTAATATTTTAGGTAAAAATTAGCTAAAATTTTGAACAGTGCAACTAAACTGTTTAGTTTTTATCAAAATAGAATATAAATATATATAAATACTTTAAAGGTACAAAGATACTAGTATAAACTCTTTATCGTTCACTGCATGGCACAGCAAAACTACTTATAAGTGTCTTGTATGAGCTTTAGTGATCGCTTAGGTTCTACAAAAGAAGAGTTTAGGAACGTATACTTGGATTAACAATATTGGTATTAAGAAATAAAACGAAGTAAATCAAAAAGTTTATGCACGTAAGTATGTAAAACACTTTATTGTACATAAGACAAAACAATTTATATACGGATAAGTCGTATACAAAGCCAAACATCCCCTTAGGGGATCTTTTCCAGTTATTATATAAAAGTCAGACATACCTCCTATACTGATGTGCATACTGACAACAAAATAAAAATTTAGTTTTTAATCTTTTCCTTGCCTTAGTTTTTGCAAAAGTATCAAGGACATAAGTTAAATCTAGGCTTGATGCGGCCTGGTTTTCGATTGCTATTAGCGATAAATGTTGGAGTCGAGCTTGGCCTTATACTATATATACGTATATATAGTACTATAGTATTCCTTAAATAATTTGTTATTATATTATTATATTATATATTATTTTCACTCATTTTCTTAATTTTGAATGGAATCTAAACGGTACTTTTTATAAAATGAAATAAAAACTGTGATTTCAAATAAGCCTGAATGTTAAATGCAAAAAAATTTTAAAGTTCAATATCTTTTTACTGGTCCTCATAATTATAATCTACTAATATGACAAATTTTAGAAAATTTTAAACGGTAACTCCCTGACCGAAAGTAACACCTTAAAGTCGTGTTGCCACCTATTTTATTTACATTCCAAAGGTGGTAGAATTTTTAGCTAGTTCAATATGAGATTTGGTGGTCAGGGTCCGAGGCCCCCCTGAGCTTGGGGGCCCCGGTGCAGAGCACCGTCCAGCCCTTCGGTAGCTACGCCACTGCCTACATGCCCCTTTCGGGAAGTTCACCACTTATAACTCATCCTGCATGTATATTTTTTGTAGATGAATATTAAAAAAAAATTAAATAAAATATCATTTTAAAAACTGTATACACCCTTACGGTGTTGATTTTGTATTTTTTGTTTATGTAGGTTAAAATATTTCTTAAAATGTTCATTAAAAATTAATGTAGTTTCCAATGTACCTACCCACAAAATTGTCTAAATATTGTATTTTGCCTCATATTAAATAAAATGCAAAAACATTTAGATTAAAATGTTTAACTTTAATTATAATTAATAATTATTTGCTTTACTTTATTTACCATTATAAGTATAAAAATAAAAGATGGATGAGACGAAGAAAATAAAAGACACTTAATACTAAATATGAAACGCATACGGTAACTATCCGGTATTCGTCGTAAATTTACTATCTGGCCGGTTACCGTACAGTAAGTTTATGCTATAAATAAATCTCCCTCTTATATTGCATTTTTAGTATTTCAAAAGAAAAACTGCTAAACTATTATACGAATTGACATTGTTTGTTCTTTTTAGGGTATTGAACAATCGCAAGCGTCGTTCTTGCTATCGATAATCGGCATCACCAACACAGTGGGTCGTATCGCTTGCGGCTACTTCGCCGATTTTCCCCAAGTGAATGCTTTATTCGTTAACAACGTTTGCTTGGTCATTTCCACGATCGCCGTAGCCATGACTCCGCTCTGCCACTCGTATGGCGCTTACATTACGATGGCCGTCTTTTTCGGAGTGGCCGTGTGTAAGTATACTCAACTATTTTGTTTTTTTTATATCAAAATTAAATTTTTACGAGCCTATAAAATCTTAAACAAATTTAATTTGTGTTATTAACAATTTTGACTATAATTTTACTATAATTATAATTATTATTGCATATTGCACATTTTTAATTTATTTATTTTAAATAACATAATAACAATAATAATGTATACCTATTTAAACTTCAAATGGGTTTTTTAATTAAAAATAAAGAAAATTACATTTCCATAATATTGAAATGTATTTTTTTATTATTAACTAAAAAGCACATTTGGAGTTTAAATATACATAGTTCTATATAAACTTAATAATAATATTAAAAATACTTATTTAGGTATCCATTAAGATCAAATACTTGATATTGGACATAAAATAGCCATTATATATATATATATATATATATACATATATATATATATATATAAATATATATATATACATGCACGGCTATCAATACGAAGCCCGGTGCATTACACTGACTAGTCGAAGCCCGGTAATGCGGGACGGGGCGGTTAACTGTTCGTTAGTGCATAAACAACAAGAGACACACTTCGCTGTGTATCAGAAGCCCTGCGGTGTTGCCAATGTCTAAATTTATAATTATAGGCAAATTTGATTTAAAATACCTAGACTATACCTAAACTTAACCTATATTTTTAAATAATGACGTAGGTATACTTAAATATTTAATAATACTGTTGAATTATAATTTTTATAATAAAAATTATTATAATAATAATTATTATTAAATTAATTAAAAGTCATTATTTAAAAATATTGTCTAAATTTATAATTATAGGCAAATTTGATTTAAAATACCTAGACGATACTTAAACTTAACAATATTCTTAAATAATGACGTAGGTATACTTAAATATTTAATAATATTGTTGAATTATAATTATTATAATAATAATTATCGTTAAATTATAATTATTTATATTATAATAATTTAAAAGTATTGTTGAATTTAGGTACCTATAGGTATAAACATTTCATTTATTTTGTTTATACATCATAATTTTAAAAAGGTTTAAATATCTTATACAGGGTGCTCTACAAGCTCTATGGCAAACTTTGTCAGATGATAGCTGGGTTAATTATAAACATTTTTTCTTAAATGACATGGATGCGATTGGTTTTTGTTTAAAAGTTAAGCCTTTAAAAATATATTTCCATATGTTAATAAAAAATATACAACTATATCAATAATTATAATTATTATAAGAATTATTGTTGAGGTTAGGTAATTTTGTGTAAAACTTAAATGGGAATCAAAACAAGTGAAACTGACTGAATATTTTTTTCATAAATTATAAAGACATCTAGTTTTTTTTAAATTATTAGATTTAAATACACCAAAAATTCTAAAAAATCTAAATAATGACGTATACTTTAATACACTACCCGACAAAATTATCGCATAATAAATATAAAAAAATTAACTCTAAAACGCCTTTACCAATCTTTATAAAATTTTTGATAAAAATACTTCAACTTATATCTCAATTTACGTGTTAGAGGGTTTTTCGAGAAAATATGTTTAAAGCCTTTTTATTTAATAATGAAAAAATGTTCGAAATATAACTTTTAGGGAATTTTTTTAAATAAATAAAAAATATGCTGTTAAAGAGCGTATTTTTTTAGTACACCCTGAAAATTTTGTACAAATCAAACGAACATTAACGAAGATACAGTGCTTCAAAGTCGGTAAAAATGACGCCTTTTTGATTATTTTGCTGAAAAGTGGTCATTTTTCACGACTTTGAAGCGCTGTATCTTCATTATTGTTCGCTTGATTTGTACAAAATTTTCAGGGTATACTAAAAAAATACGCTCTTTAAGAGCATATTTTTTATTTATTTAAAAAAATTCCCTAGAAGTGATTTTTCGAACTTATTTTCATTATTAAATAAAAAGGCTTTAAACATATTTTCTAGAAAAACCCTTGAACACGTAAATTGAGATATAAGTTGAAGTATTTTTATCCAAATTTTTTTATTTATTATGCAATAATTTTGTAGGGCAGTGTATTTAAAAATAGTGTGATTTATAATTATTTTAATAAAAACTATTATATTATTGAATGAATTATAAGTCATTATTTAAAAGTATTGTCTAAATTTATAATTATAGGCAAATTTGATTTAAAAGACCTAGACCATAGTTGAGGACCATCCGTGGAAAACCGGCTATATCCATTTTAATAAATGTTGGGAAAATTTAGAAAAACTAAACCAAATTAAAAGTTGAAAAATAAAAAAAATAAGTGGGGAAAATTGCTATTTAGTTTAGCATCCTATAAACAAGAAAAATGTATTACAAACCAAATATTGTTTTATAGCTACATTATAAAGTTAAAGCTGCCTTTTATCCAATAAAAATCGTAGATAAAATATTACTTTAACCAAAACGGTTGATAAAATAATATTGTAATGGTAAGTATAAATGGACAATCCTTATCTAAAAGGAACCAAGCGAAAAAAACTATTTTTGGACTTAACAACATTTTTTGTAAAATAACTCATTTTTAATAATGCTCAAAAAGTTTCTCATTATTTAGAACTTCTTTTAAATTATTGAGAGGACTTTCAAATTATAAATAAGTTTTTGAGCAGCATTAAAAATGAGTTAGGTATATACAAATAAGTTTGTTAAGCTCCGAACAAGTTTTTGGTTCCTTTTAGATAAGCACTATCCAAATAAAGAAGATAAGCACTATCCAAATAAAGAACCCAATTTGGTCGTTTGGTCGTTGTTTGCCATGTATAAATAAATTGACCAGTTGTGAATGTTAATTGACAAATTGCCATGAGAAGCTATCTGTCAAAAAGCAGTTTTAAGTGTATTACGAAAGTATTTAACAAAACATTGCCTTTTAATCCACGCCATGTAGTGAACAAAACATAATTTTGGGAATATAACATTTGTTTTAAAAATCAGTAGATACAAATTTAAGAATCCCGCATTATTTTCCCCGCCTTCCTATCAAAAAGTCATCGAGCGTAAAGTCCCCATTGTTGCCAGATGTACGGGCTTCGTATACTGCGTAATACTTATACAAAGCTGTATATAATCTCGTTTGACTCGTGTGCCCCCTACCGCCAAAGCATTGGAACTAAGGGTGTATATTTTGATAGGTTTGAATGGCATTAGGAAGCCCACCACTTTTTCGCCATTGAAACAAGGGGGCATCACTTAACTCTAAAACAAATTTATACACGCTAATTTTAGGAAGCCCGATTTCGGGCTTCGTAAAAACCGAGTGGGCTTCGTTTATACTGTAGAATGTAACGTTTCGGGCTTGGTAATGTAGGATTGCATATCTATATATATATATATTATTATTATATTATATACGAGGTGTGTTCAGAAAATAACGGGAATTGTTAAATTTCGGAGGGTCCGGTTGTCATATAATTTTATTTATTATGTTGGTATACATGCCCCCGAAGTATGATAAAAAGATGTTTTCAATGTTTACTTTGTGTGTGGCAGCCGCTAAGGTTAGACGTGTTTTATGAGCTCGGCGATTTTCGTTCGTTAAAAGAAATGGTCTTTGATCCATTTGTATCCAATTTTGCTTAAAAAATATAATAAATTCTGTGAAATTTTAACAAAGGCCTATAGTGAGTCTGCTATAAGTAAAACAAGAGTTTACAAGTGGTATAAGAGTTTCCAAGATGGCCGTGAAGACGTTGAAGATGACGAACGCCCCGAACGCACAAGCACCTTAACAACCAATAAAAACATGGAAAAAGAGGAAGAAATGGTTATAAGCCATCAGAGAAGTCGCTGATGATGTTGGTATATCGATTGGCTCATCCCATGAAATTTTTTCAAATGTTTTGGGTATGAAACTCGTGACAGCAAAATTTGTTCCAAAATTGTTAAATTTTGAACAAAATTTTCGGCCAAAAACAATACTGTAATGATGCCCCAGCCTCCATATTCGCCAGACATGCATCTGTCTGACTTTTTCCTATTCCCAAAAATAAAGAGAACCTTAAAGGGCCGTCGTTTAGCAAGCATAGATGACATTAAAAGCGCATCGCTGAAAGAACTAAAGGCTATCTCAAAGATCGAGTTTTAGAAGTGTTTCGAGTAGTGGAAGAAGAGCTGGCACATGTGCATAATATCCAATGGGGACTATTTTGAAGGCGACAACATTAATGTTCACGACTAAATAAATATTTGTTTCAAAAAACGAAAATTCCCGATATTTTCTGAACAAACCTCGTATATTATATATTATTAAAAAATAAATAATAATAGAACGCACAATTTTCTAAATTATTAATATGAAAACAAATAATTATTAACTGTATAAAAAGCATTAGCACATAAGAAAAATATTATATTTAATAAACTAAGTACTGAAATTACCTATTACCGTTCTTGAAGAAAAATTATCTACACCCATTTTTAAATGTTTGGAAAGAGCATAGTGCAGTAGTGTCAAAAGAATTTATTTAATTCTTGTTCCAATATTTAACTCGAGGTGAGCTGACCTGTTTGATTCATACCTGCCTGTTCTTACTAGCTACCCAAACCATCAAAAGTGAGGAACTTAACATAATCTTCAATGTGATCATTTCCGTCGCAGTAAAGGCATTTTTAATATGTGTTTTAAACAAAACCTAATTGAACTTTTTGTCGAAAAACAGTTTTTAACCACGAACTTTATTGCCTTAAAAGTTGACACAAATGGTACTTATGCCAATGGATTCTTTTTTGCAACACGTCTTGTAAAGGCAGCAAATTTGGGTTTTTTATAAGCAACCCTTCATGGTAGTCATTGGAAATTACATTTAGTGTAATAGGCCACACCAAAGCTTTGTCCCGTCCAATAAATGGAACAATTTTAACAAAAAATAATTAACAAAGTTTTGGGAGTTTGAAGAGTTACAAGTTAACTCTTTGGACAAGTTTTTATCTTTTGCACAAGTCAATGTCACCATATGCAATAAGAACAAGAAT